TCACATTAATAAGATATAACTTATACTCGTACATAATGACTCTTAGGGAAATAATTTAGTTGCGAGTAATATTGACAAAATAGCATTATAGACCGTCAGCTGCCTCGGTGTCTGATGGTGGAAAGGAGAGAGAGTAATTAAATCATGTAATTTCTATGCCTCCGGAATGTATCCTATAGAATACCGAGAGACTAGCTACTCTGTGCAAGTGCTTGTAGATTGTTTTTAACCTAATTAAGGTTATGGAAACTTGGGCAGAGGATGTGAGTGAAACTTGAGTCAGCAGAATGAAAATTGATAGAATCAGAAATTACTTTGCGGAAATCCATTCTAATAAAGATATTAATAGTTATTTTGCAACCAACCGCTAAATAAAATAAAATGATGTGTCTTCCTTACTTTGACATTTTGAATGTGTTGTTCCTTTGGAGAGTAAAAAATAACTTTGTCGCTCGTCTCGTAGTCTCAAATTGTGGTGGTGGCTTAGATTCTACTCGTAGGCTCTATAGACCCGTCGTGTAAGCGGTGCTTTAATTGTATCACAGCGAATGAAGACATGCGTGCAATTTGCTAAGTATTTCTAAACAAACGGCCGCTGAGTCACTAACGTCGAGCGGTGCGGTGCATGTGAGAGTGACGTCACCGTGCGAGCTAGATGGCATACTAGCAGCGTCATCATTTCTTATATCTTCATCATCATGATCACCATCAGACAACATGCACTATCAGGCATACAGCCCTTCACAAGTCCACTGCTGAACATAGGCCTCCCCCAAGGAATGTCACAAAGCACGGTCCTGAGCCACCTGCATCCATCGATTTCCTGCATGTCTTACCAAGTCGTCACTCCATCTAGTAGGGGGTCACCCTACACTACGCCTACCGATACGAGGCTGCCACTAGAGAACCTTTTCACTATCAGTTGTCGGTTCTTCGAGCCATATGGCCGGCCCATTGCCACTTCAGTTTACTAATCCGTTAGGTTATGTCGGTCACTCTAGTCCTACTGCGGATATCCTCATTTCTAAGTTTATGACGCAGAGAAATCCCGAGCATAGCCCTCTCCATAGTTCGCTGAGCAACCTTGAGCGTCTTCATACGGTCAGCAGTGAAGGACAACGTCTCAAATTCGTAAGTCGTACTGGTAGTACAATTTAGTTTTAATGTTTTTAGGTATACCTGACGAAAAAATGTGTCGTAATTTTCCGAACGCTGCCCAGCCGAGATGAATCCGTCGGTTGACCTCTCGTCAAAGTCGAAGGTTGAAGTTGGACTTACTAAGTCCAACTTCGACCAAGCTGTCTTTAGAACCTCTCAATCTCACTCAAAATCTCATGTGTCTCAGAAACGATGCTGCCACACTCAGTCTGCAGCTTTAACAGTTGGCTCTTACTGGCAGACAGATCTCTGGCAAAGACTGGAGTCCTGGTTCCGCTCAATTACTTTACGAGCTATATTGAAGCTGCATAAGTCTCGCCGCATGTATTTGGAGACATGTTTGTTCAGTTGCCTGTATGCTGTCTAATCTGCTGACAACTGCAGCTTCATATCTTGTCTAGCAGCCATGATATTAAGTGTGTGATTGGAGGGTTTTTGTGTTCTTCTGCGGCGGGTCTTGCAAAACTTAGCTCCGATCGCATGGACAGTTTCCACGAGCTTGTCATTGAAAACGGTTTTACAACTCGAGCTGAAAGCTTTCGGAATTTCGGATTAGAGCACGAGGGGGGAAGGAGCGTTGACTTCATTAGAAGAGACCTCTCCAACTTAACGTTTAGGTTCAATGTGCCTGTAACTATTCGGTGATCGCTGCCGGTTTTCACCCTTGCGATCACTAAGACACCACTGAACAGTTGGCGTATGGTCGTAATAATGAAGTCAATATCATAATTTGTCGAACCGTTGGGGCTCGACCATGTCCAATTTCTGTGGGGCCGCTTCTGGAAGAAAGAGTTCATCATAAAGAGTCCCTTTTTCTCCATGAAATCAGACAGCTGCTGGACTCGTGGGTTCCGTTGCCCAGTCAAAAATTTTCTTATCTTCAGGTCACCGTTCTTTACTGTGCCTAATTTTGAGTTGAAGTCGCACATTATCACCGTATAGTGAGTTTTTGAGGAATGCATGGCTCTAGAAATATCGTTTCGTACGCAAACTCGACGACTTCCAGCCTCCCGAACAAACCGGTTTACGAAAAGGCATCAGTACCATAGACCACATATATACCCTGCGGTAGATTATACAGAAGACAGAAGAATATAATCTGCCACTTTTCCTGGCGTATGTGGACTATGAGAAAGCCTTTGATCCCATCGAAATTTGGGCGGTGCTACAGTCCCTTCAGCGGTGCCAAGTTGACTGTCGGTATATCGAACTGCTAAAGTGTTTGTACAATAGGGCTACGATGGCTACCCGAGTACAGAATCAGTGTTCGAAACCTATCTAACTGCAGAAAGGTGTAAGACAGGGTGACGTTATATCCCCGAAACTCTTCACCGCTGCATTGGAAGACGTTTTAAAGCTACTAGACTTGAAAGGATACGGTATTAACATGAATGGCGAGTACATCACTCATCACCTTCGATTTGCCGACGATATAGTCCTTATGGCAGAATCGCTGGAGGACCTAAGCACTATGCTCAATGACCTCAATGGTGTCACCCAAAGGATAGGTCTTAAAATGAACATGGAAAAAACAAAGATCATGTTTAATGGTCATGCCAGTAGTTGTTGGGAGCACTATGCTCAAAGTTGTTGACGATTACGTTTACCTGGGACAAATAGTCTGATTAGGTAAGTCCAACTTCAACCGAGAGGTTAATCGACGGATTCAACTCGGCTGGGCAGCGTTCGGGAAATTACGACACATCTTCTTGTTAGATATACCTCAAACTCTGAAAACTAGATTGTACAACCAGTGCGTGTTGCTAGTGATGACTTACGGATCTGAGACGTAGTCCTTCAGTACTGACCGTATGAGGATGCTCAAGGTCGCTCAGCGAGCTATGGAGAGGGCTATGCTCGGAGTTTCTTTGCGTGATAGACTCAGAAATGAGGATATCCGTAGTAAAACCAGCTCAACGGATTGGTAAGCTGAAGTGGCAATGGGCCGGCCATATACCTCGAAGAACCGATAACCGATGGGGAAGAAAGGTTCTCGAGTGGCAGCCTCGTACCGTTAGCCGTAGTGTAGGGCGAATCCTCACTAGATGAAGTGACGTCCTGGTAAGACATGCAGGAAGTCGATGGGTGCAGGTGGCTCAGGACCGTGCTTTGTGGCATTACTTGGGGGAGGCCTATGTTCAGCAGTGGACTTGTGAAGGGCTGTAATTATGATGATGATGAGAAATATCCTCATACATTTCCTCCACCTCCTAATCGGGATGTGCCGACGTTGGTGCGTAAATCTGTATGACCTTCAGCGAAACTCGTCTTGTGATTCTGAGTACGTGAGTATGGTGAATAAGGTACGCAACCCTCGTCGACACACTTTCAATCTTATCAACGTTGTTAAGGAGAGACTTGTGGACGATAATCCAACACCTCCTTGGGACAGATGGTCGCCCTCCCGGTGATAGATATATTGCCAAATTTGCCACTCTTGGCAAGCGGTTCGGTAACCACAGTTTTTTGTTGTACAGTTACTGCTATCAGGTAGATGCTGCTGCCCATCTCCTGCCAGTTTACCTCCGTCACCTTTTACGACATCTACGGGAAGATATGGGGCAGTGGATATTCTTAACCTCCACAACACGGCAACGGCACAGCTTTTGTCTTCAGGTGTGATAAAGTGGGTTGGTTTGCGTAAGGTTTTGCCGTATATCGTGAGGTCTGGGCTGAGGTTGTTGTCTTTCCGTAGCGCATTTTGTACTCCTATTATAGTACGGTGGAAACTTCATCCATCCATGTAGTTGTTGCGCCGCGACCCATGAGCGCGGCTTTCATTGTGCCACCGTTCAACTTGCCCGTTCGACTGTGGATGGTAGGTCTTAGTGTGCAATATATTGATGCTGAATTTTGGCGTCCTTGATCTATTGTGCTGCATAGTAGGCAGACGAATCTCACTATCCAGATGTCGTATAATGCTTGAGCGACGATTTCCGCTGTGACTTCACGTACCGAAACTGCTACTGGCCATTTCCTGCAATAGTCAATAATGGTGAAACAGTAGCGATAGTCGTTTGATAATCTCAAAGGGCCAACGATGTTTATGGGTAAATGTTGAAAGTGTTGCGAGGGCGGTGTTTTGTTGTGGTGTATTGTTGTGGTCATATGTCGATGGACTTTACCACGCCATTTGGCATGTAAAACTTCTACAGGCTTTGGTTTACTGCCCTACTTCTTTTTTTTAGACGGACAGAAAAAATTCCTAGTCATCAATTTTCTTCACGTCTGACGCACAGGTGATATAGATCGTGCTGTGCTTTGCAGACTGCATACCATATATACGTAGCAAGATAGGGTCGAGAGCTTGCAGGTGATGGGTAGCTTAACTTCTGCAAATTTTCAGTTGGTCTTCAGCTTCAGTTTCTTTAGCTCTTCGTCATTTTCTTGATCGATGCTCAGCTATTTTTAGCTTATGGTAGTAGGTCATTGTCTCTCCTCCAGGTGTGATACTGCTGCAACCGTTTTCTCGTCTCCTTTTATGTATAGGATTTAGAAGCAGAATTGGCTGATGAAATGTAGCTGTCGTTCTCGCCAAGGTGTTGATGTTGTCGACGTTACTCTCTGATTGGGTGAGTGCGTAAGTGTGCAGCTTGTATTCAGTGTAGATGAGAACTTGGCAGGCCTTCTATGAGCCTTCAGAAGTGTTTTACAGCTGTTTAAATTACTAGTATTTTGCGATCGTACATCACCGTATGAGCGAAACTCAACTCCACTACTGTGGTAGTGGAGTTGAGTTTCGCTCATAGATTTGGAGAAAAATGAGAGTGGTGTCCAAATGTTATCTATTTTCTGCTAGACGACTTCACCGATGCTGCAGTCAGAAACGTCGATCATGATAACTAGTGGGCTGTCGAGACGAGATGCTTTGATGGCATTTTGAAGGCATCCTCTGTTTGTAGTGTCCACTTAATGAGTGTCTTGTTATTTCTTTTTTTGTTATGTAGGTGCATGTTTAATTCAATTTGCCGGGTAGTTTGACAAAGCAGGTAGTCTTGGTAGAAGTTTATCACGCCGAGAAGTCGTCGCAGCTCGATAACGGTCTTCAGTTTAAGGTACAAAGCGATTGCCTTGCTGCGATCTTGGGTCTTAATGCCATCCTCCGATACTTCGTAGCCCTGGTAGTTAATGGCTGTTTTTCCAATTTCACACTTTTCTATGTTGAATATGATGCCGTACTGATTCTGATGCTGCAGTACCCGGTGCAAAAGCTTGTGCTGGTCATAATTTTTTTGCGTATAGGAGAATATCCTTGAATAAACAGATGCATTCGTCTATCCCTTTCAGTACTTCAGGCATGAATCATTGGGAAATCTGACTTGTTAAACGGAGTCCATTGGTCTTAAAGTTATATTAAAACAGCCTAAATGGTGTTATAATGGATGTTTTTCCCGCGTGTTTTTTTAAGTCATCAGTATCGAGTAGTAAGTCATTTTAAAATTAATCATGGAGAAGAGTTTTCTTGTTGTGGAGCTGATAGGTGAAGTCTTGGGTGCGTGTTAGTGTTCGGCCTGAGTGACCACATTTAGCTGTCTTTTATCATCACAGACTCGTAATCCACAATATATCTTCTTCACGACGTGCAGCGAACTTATCCAGGAGCATTTGAATGGCTTACAAATTTCCATCTCCAGAGTGCGTTCGAACTCTTGTTTCGCGGTTTAGTACTTGTTCGACGGTAAAGGGCACAGGAGCGTGGAGAGATAAGATACCATCGTTTCTATGCGATGAACGACCTCGTGTTTGCTCAGCTACTTCAGTGACTTTGATCAGAGTACAACTAGATAATTCATGAGGACGTCATGGTAGGCTTGTTGGCTGCTGATGATGTGCACTTGTTATTTGTAGTCACTTCAAAAGCGTCGATGGATAGCTCGGTGACTTTGTCCACTTGATTTCTCTTGTCTTGATTCACAAGCATCTCGAAATATTGCTGAAAATCAGTACTGAGGATGGAGGTCCTGACATCGGCTACTACGAACATCCACAAAAACTGCGGCGGAGTCCTAAATCAAACTTTAAAGTTGTATCGCCGGACGTTTTGATCTTTATTCGCATGTCGTGTTGTTATTGTTTTGTGAGTGGCAGCTGTTGGCGAGGAAATGTTCACAGGTGTTGCGTTCGAAGACGTTCTCGACGTCCGCCACGGTCGATGTCGATCTTAGATTTCGCGGTCTTCTTCCTCCTGCAGCATTTTCCTTGCTCTATTTCGAAAATGGAAGTGGTAACATCACTAGCAGTTCCCGTCTCAGTACCCGGCTGCTACTCAGTCGGCACGCACGATCGTGTGGCTCGCCTCCCACACCACGCGGTTGTGTGTGAACGAGACACCTTGACGTCCTTCTCGCTCGTGCCATATAAGTATGCCTCGATGCAGCGCAAAGCGCCAGCGCAGTGCTTGCGGATCAGGCACTGTTAATAACTTAAAAATATGTCAAACATTAAGTAGAGATAGAGGTATACTTGTAACTTAACATTAATAACTTTATTCCTTGGTGGTTGATACGAGTTTTTTTATCTCAAAAGATTCCTTTTAAAATTAATTTTTTTTAAATTATGTTTTTGTTCCTCTTGTCTTTACTATGACTTAAAAATTATTTATAATAAACAATAGCCTTATTTTATTATTATATTAATATATAGCCTTATTTTATTTTTATTATTATATTATATAAATTTTGTCAAAAATAATTTAGTTTTAAAATAGTTTCCCAAGAATTAAGAGCACATCAATAGTCCTTTATTTGTTTTTAGCATAAGTATTTACAAGAAACGAGGACACAATAAGTCAGGAATGCATTTCATAGGTATTTCTGGAAGATATTATGGAATTCATCGTCCTTTCGAGTCATGTCGAGGTCGCCGAAAAACTTCAATAAACGACGTGTCTCAAATACCTACATATCGGCTGTGGTGTTTGGAATCGTGGGTAGATTAATAAAATAATTTAAAAAGAGTATTATTTGTCTTAGTGTCTCATAGTTTGAAATTCACTACATAATAATATACAATTGTTTTATTAAGCATTGCTTTGATGTATATCTGGCCTTTCTCGTACTTTACTAGCTTTCCACATAAGAAGAGTTAAATAAGTACAATACCTTTCTTTCTGAAATCCGTTAAACTTAGTTTCATTAAAATGTGTAGTGGTCGCGTAAACATACGAAATCGTTATGTAATACCATTCTTGTTAGGTTATGAACACGGGCATAAAAACAGTTTATAGTGATTACACCCTGTTAAACAAATACGAACCAATTATAAAATTGCATAGGAACACTTATAACATGAATATTGCATTTGAATTACGCCCATTCTCTCCGCTTGCATTAAATCATTTCAGTGACAAGTTAATTAATCCCGTTCCCGTGCTTCTAAAGTGTATGAGAAAAATATTAAAACTATAGCAACACGATAAAACCACAGAATCGACTACTTTGTTTTTTATTAAGTAACCTGTACGAAAATTGGACGAACATTTGACTTTATTACCACCATATTTTTTGCTAATAAAAATGTACATCGTATTTTTAGCCGACTTCAAAAAAGAGATTTACATTTCGGTAAGTTAAGGTGATATCTTGCTGCTAGTTTCCGTCATGTTAGTGCTGCTAGCCTTTTATATTTTACAGCTTCTTCAGACATAGGCTATATTAAATTGGGAGGGGGAGGGGAGTTTAATTTCCAACGTAAATTTCGTGACGATGTATCGTTACTACCGTCTTAATAAGGTTACTCGTTTCTTTAAATGTTCTGCATTGATTTATATAACACTAGATCAGTAATAACCGCGCCAAAGCGTTGCTACTGCACATATGGCCACAGCCATATGCCTAGCTAACGTGAGTTCATTGTTCAATGTGACGCCGACAGAGTTGAGCCGCGACAAAAATGGGTAAATGCGTGGTGAAAGAATGCTATTCAAGGTCACAAAAACGTAATAAATCAAGTGGAATCACTTTCAACACATAATTTTTGTTCTTGTTTTCATATAAACGTAAAAATCTACCTCAAATAATTAAATAAAATTGTCGAATATTGCCATTTAGGTTCAATGTTGCCACTTTTTCTCATTTGTGATTATCCTACATTAATGGGAGACATTACATTATTATACATTAATTAATGGAGTAAGTTAATTTGTTACCTCTGATTTTAAATATTTCGGAAATTATAATAAAAACTACGTTTTAACTTTCATACAAAATATTAATTATTCTTATTTTAGTTTATTCATGAGTTATCTATTAAATATATTTTATTACCTATTTTATATTAATAGTTTTTTATTATTTAAAATTTCATATAAATTTTATATTAATTATATTTTATTACCTATTTTATATTATTTGTTTTATTAGTACCATAAAAATACGTTTTATTTCATCATTATGTTTACTTCTATTAATCTGATATGTATCCTTTTTTTCTAAGAGGACGTAATAAAGATTTGAAAATAAAATATACTTTTTTAATATAAAAACAATTAACTGCAGCTTAAAAAGAACTCATTTTTATTGCGTATTTTAGGTAAAATTTCATATAGTAAGTCACACCGACCCGCCATTGCATGTTTGTGTGTCTATCTTTATCTAACCTTAGCGACGATATTGTTTTCGCAACTTGTGTAAGTGAGATAGATATATGTTTACTTAAAATTGTTATTAGTTTCAAAGCTACGTCGTCGCGTTTGAATAGTGGTTACACTTTATTCGACGCGCGGTAATGTGGTTTGCTCCTCTAGTGTTGTATAACTTAATGATATTCTGGGCGTGAAAACCGCCCAGGCTCGCAGTTGTACGATATATAAGCAGTGTGTGTGTGGGGGGGAGGGGTGGTGCAGCATTGTCTTAACCGTGTTTGTGATATAAGGTATGTGTGTAGTGTTCGTGTGAGACGAGCCTTCGATATTTGGGTCGTCGGAATCTAGCGGAATTGGGGTTTATATTATAACGTTACAAGTTCTCCAGAGACTGGCCATGACGATTTTTAGTCTGAGCGTAAGTGGCTGTTTTTAGCTCTAGCGGGTTCAGATGTGTTTCGGCTCTTTTGAATTAACGCTGAAAAAATCAACAAAACTCATTTTGAAACGGAAACAAAGATCATTTTCATATTTTAACAAAAATAAATGTGCGATCAACTTTCATTGGTCTCATCACCATCAAACAGTTCATAGGCTCTGAAGTTGGAGGCTCCCTCCACGCTTAGCTCCTGAATTACTACGTCATGTAGCCAAAAATCTGTAACAACAGAATTACATATCATAGCGTCACCAGAGGTCTTTGATAAGCATTTATAGCATTTATTTCCTCTTCCTCGATTTCTTCTCAAATTAAACTAAATATAAAATTGAAGTATGTTTTATCGCGACGGTATTTTAGCGCTATCGGTGTATTATATAGCGACGAAGTTCGCCACCCGTCACGTTCTGTCTCCCGGAGGGGCGAAAAGTGGATTGCGGAAGCCCGTCTGGCTACGCTGAATGTATGTGGAGCAATGAATGATAAGATGGATGAAGTGTGCGAAATGATGAATGACAGAGGAATAGATGTGATATGTGTAAATGAGACGAAACGAAAGGGAAAGGATGCCACTGCACATGGCACGTATACCGCGTATTGGTCTGGTGTAGACGAGACCGAACGGGCATGCCAGGGGAGTCGGTTTCATCCTTTCAGAAAGAATGGGTCAATGTGTGAAAGAGTATGAATGTGTAAGCCCGAGGCTGCTATGGATACGAATGAAAGTGGGCTTAAAGAAGCTGTTCTTGCTAGGGGTGTACGCTCCAGACATTTCTAAGCCCACTTACATCCGGGAGCAGTTTTGGGACATGGTAAGGATGGTGTTGACAAAATGTAAGGAAAATGAAAATATTATTATGTCAGGAGACTTTAATGGAAGGGTCGGGGTGAGAAGGTCTGGTTATGAAAGGATATTGGGAACGTTTGGTGATGAAAGTATAAATGAGAATGGTGAAGACCTCCTCACCGTATGTGTGGAAAAGAATCTCTTTGTGACGAATACTTTTTTTCGTCATAAGAAGATTCACACGTATACATGGGAAAGAGTTGATGATAGAAGCATGATAGATTTCGTAATTGTGGATGAAAGAATGAGGAGCGCAGTCGTAGATACAAGTGTTTACCGGGGGTCCAACGTAGGGACGGATCATTACTTGGTCTTATGTCGAATTAATGGTCTTTTCAAGCGTTGGTGGCATCCGACATCTGTGTCTACCACTGCGTTACAGCTTATAAGAATAGAGAAGTTACAAGATGGAGATGTGAAAAAGAAGTATAAATGCAGACTGAGAGAAAATATTAGGTGTTTGAATGAGTTGTGTATGAATGATTTAGACTTGAATACTGTATGGCATAATATTAAGAAAGGTTTGGTGGATGCAGCCACCGAATTATGTGGTGTAAGTAAGAGAACAAATGAAAGGTACGGGTGGAAGTTGAATCAAAGAGGAAAGAATGGTTAGATTTACTAGCAACTAAAGCTGGTAATTCTGGTGGTATGAGTGATGAGATTGAAAGAAAAAAGGCAGAATTTAGACGTCTAAATAAGAGAGTAAAAGAAGTAGTTGAAAGGAAAAAGAAAGAAAGAACGGATAAGAATGATAGAAGGATATCTAATAATTTCCAGGCTAATATAAAAATGTTCTAGAAACTCGTAAGAACTGCCAGGGGAAATACAAAACAGCCTATAATTAATGCTGTAAGAGACGAGAATGGATGTATTCTGAATGATGAAGTTTCGAATTTAAACAGATGGAAGCAATACTTTGAAAGCGTGTTTATGAGTGAAGAGTCATCTGAATTAAATGAATAAGAAATTCCGAAAGAAGTAGAAAGGGGTATAGAGATATGTGTAGATGAAATAATGAAAGCAATGAAAAGCATGAAAGCAGGTAAGGTA